TTGATGAGGACAGGGCTGGAGATCAATCTGTCATGATTAAGTAAGAATGACACCACTGGACACTTTAAAAAGAGGCTGGTGCTTGGCATCATTGTTTCTCTTCTGTGAACCATGGTTATCTCTAAAGAAACACGTGCAGTCATCATTGCACTGCACAAAAATGGCCTAACAGGGAAGAGTATCGCAGCTGGAAAGATTGCACCTCAGTCAACCATCTATTGCATCATCAAGAACTTCAAGGAGAGAGGTTCCATTGTTGCCAAAAGGGCTCCAGGCCGCCCAAGAAAGACCAGCAAGCGCCAGGACCGTCTCTTAAAAGTATTTCAGCTGTGGGATTGGGCTACCAGCAGTGCAGAGTGCTCAGGAATGGCAGCAGGCAGGTGTGAGTGCATCTGGACGCACTGTGAGGTGGAGACTCTTGGAGCAAGGCCTGGTCTCAAGGAGGGCAGCAAAGAAACATTAGGGACAGACTGATATTCTGCAAAAGGTACAGGGAGTAAACTGCTGAGGACTGGGGTAAAGTCATTTTCTCTGATGAATCCCCTTTCTGATTGTTTGGGACATCTGGAAAACAGCTTGTTCAGAGAAGACGAGGTGCGTGCTACCACCAGTCTTGTCTCACGCCAACTGTAAAGCATCCTGAAACCATTCATGTGTGGGGTTGCTTCTCAGCCAAGGGAGTCGGCTCTCTCACAGTCTGGCCTAAAAGCACAGCCATGAATAAAGAATGGTACCAGAATGTCCTCCGAGAGCAACTTCTCCCAACCGTCCAAGAGCAGTTTGGTGATGAACAATGCCTTTTCCAGCATGATGGAGCACCTTGCCATAAAGCAAAGGTGATAACTAACCGGCTCAGGGAACAAAACATAGAGATTTTGGGTCCATGGCCTGGAAACTCCCCAGATCCATTGAAAACTTGTGGTCAATCATCAAGAGACGGGTGGACAAACAAAAACCTAGGAATTCTGACAAAATGCAAGCATTGATGGTGCAAGAATGGACTTCTATCAGTCAGGATTTGGTCCAGAAGTTGATTGAGAGCATGGCAGGGAGAACTGCAGAGGTACTGAAGAAGAGGGGTCAACACTGCAAATATTGACTTGCTGCATTAACTCATTCTGTCAATAAAAGCTTTTGTTACTCATAATATGTGATAGA